CAATAGTGCCTAAGTTTCTATCAGGTCAGATCCGGAATCCGTTGACCCACGTGTTTTGTCATATATCAAAAATGTTTGGTTTTCTCGTGGAACGTCTCTTAAACATTCATAACCGCTGTGAGATGTTACTATTTTAGTGAAGAAAAATATGAAATTTAATCTTGTTAATGACTTCATGGGTGGAAACACATCTATGAACCGCGTTCTATGTCAAAAAACAACAAAATAGAATTTAATAGTTTATCTATATGAACGTTGAATGAAAAATAACTAACGTCTTACAGCTTATTTTTAAACGAAATATTCACATTTCAATAAAATTATCAATTACCTAATATTTATGTCAACAATATTTGTTTTGTATAAATAAATATAAAGCATTAGAAGAAGACAGCAAGTGATGCATACAACACACGAGTGTAAACCAAGTTATTAAATAGCTAATATTAAATCTAACAGTGAAATTATCTTATACCGAAACAATCAATAAATTTCATTGTATCTTCCATATCGACTTTATATTGTTTATTTTGACTTGTACACATGCCAATACTAAGAAAAAGTCGATTATGTGGTATAAAACTTAAACCTAAAATAAATTATAGGACTTTATTTAAATAAGAAATAAAAATTACCTTGAACATTCGATGCTTCATTATTATCATATATATGTGAATCATCTAGATAATCATAAGGATCGATAGTTCTTTTTAGAATTTGAAATGTATCATTAATTGTTTTAACATATTTTAAATAAGATTCCTCAGATATTTTTAAACGTTGCATACGTTGAATGATTACTTCACGTTGTTTAAGTAATATTTCTATTGTAGCTGGAGCCTCCTTTGTTTTTAATTATAGAAAATATTTCATAATGATAAAAAAATAAAATTTTCTACTTTAAGTTTAAATAATCGTAACGCATTATGATACACCATGTGTGTTGTTAAATCACAAATGTTTACATAACGTTCACATATAGTACAGACTACAGTTATATCAGGTTTTGATTGATCATCTATAGATTCAACAATATCAGAAGCTAGAGAAAAGATAAATTACAAAAAAAGCTAACGTATATAGAATTCTCACTATGTTCTTGTTCAGATGATGTTGCAGACGACTCACGAGGTAACTCTTCTTCTCCTTTTTGTTCTTCTTCTTCTTCTTCTTTTTGTGATTTTGATTCTATTTCAGAATCAGACATTTCTGAAAAAGTAGAAATAAAATAAAAGTTTCTAATCAATCACTTATAAAGTTTATTAAAACAAAGATAAAACAAAACAATTAGTCAATAATATCATGAGCGGCACGAGGTTTTTGAAGATCACGTGGTGTAAAAGCAATTGGTAATAATTCTCGAAGTTTATACATTTTCATTTCATTTTTCGGATTTATAAGATAAACGTCCAAATCAAGATCGAATTCTGCTAATATTTGTCGACATGCACCACATGGACCACTATAACCTATTTCAACATCACTAGAAAAAAAGAAACAAGATTATTATATATTGATAGATATCAACTTACGATGTAATTGCAATTGTCGTGAAAGACATTTCACCTTCAGAAACTGCTTTAACAACAGCTGTTCGTTCAGCACATGTCGTTAATGGATATGCAGCATTTTCAACATTACATCCTGAATAAATTTTTCCAGTTGATGTTAATAAAGCTGCTCCTACTCTATTATAACAAAAGAAGTATTTTGTTAGATAAAAAAAAGAACGCTTATAAATATAATTTTGAATCATACCGGAATTTTGAATAAGGACAATAAGCTCTATGTTTAGCCAAATGTGCTTCCCGAAATAATTCTAAACATGTTTAGTAAAGTATTATTTTTATTTCAAAATATGTTATGCTTTAACGAAGGTTATGTCTCTAAGATACGTAAAATTTTGAAGTATTTTTTAGTTTTGATTCCATTCTATTGAATGTGAAATGAACCAATAAAATAGTTTTAATCAACCTCAAATCAATGAAATACAATGCCTTCGTTTCAATCGAACTAATCATCGATGAATAACAGCAAATATGAAAAACTAATCATCTTTCACTCATAATTACATAAAAATGATTCCTGAAAATCAAATGAGTTGTACACTACCTTCGAGATCAGTTGATGAGGGTACATGAACTATCTTTTTTTCCATTTATACTTGTAAATGAATGCAAATAAACCAATAAAATGTAGCTATATGTATATATATATACACTATCGCCCCGAATAAGAATATATATATATATATATATGTTTCATTGCATACAAACAAACACATACACTTGAAGAGAAAAATGTAGATTAATACAGCTCTTATTTATCACAAAAGAAAAAAAAAGAAGAAGAAGAAGAAAACAAAATTGAAATTTCATCGACACTCTTAAGTAGAAATCAATAGACTAGATAAATAAAAGATAAAGAAACAAAAAAAAAAGAAGAAAACGAATCTACAAAATGTCGAGTGTTTATTTTTATTTTGAAATTAGAAATTAAAGTTTTTCAATTGATGATGGATTATAAATATTGCTTGTGACTGCATTACGATTAATACGAGGTGATATTCCTCTTGATGGTGCTTCTTTTGATTGAGAACTATTAAAACCTAATTGGTCATGTAAAATTGTTTTACGATTTGTTAGAGGTACTGAATGAGATGCATCCATGGATGTGGATATAGTTGATTGAGATGTCGGTGAACTAGGCTGATTTGAAGGATTAACAGATGTTGATGATTGAGCAGTTGTTATTGATGATAATTTTGGTAGATTAAAACAAGCTCGACGTATTAAATGTCGAGAATTTGATTTTGAAGGACGTACAACACCAGGTTTGGATAGTTCAGCTAGAAGTATACAGATAATTTCTCAATTTTAGACTAAATTTATTTTTCTAATTGTTTATGTGATCTTATAAAAAATTAAAAGGTAATAGATTCGAAGCAGAATTAATACTCGTCTCGATCTGATGTATAGTAAATGGATGTGAATAAATATGAACTTCTTTGCAAAAATATGTCTGGATAAGAAATGATCTTACAAAATAGATCATATCATTACTCAACGATTATTTCGATATTATTGTCATTTATTGAATTTAATGAAGATTAATTTAACTTTAACTGCTACTAACAAACATATTTATCATATAATCAATGTAATAAATGCAGTTATGTCTGCAACAGACATTGATTACTGATTGTTATTCGATGATAGAATAAATCTGTCTTTAGTTTACTCAATGTTACAAAGATATAACGAAAAAAAATAACACTATATGAAACTGCTCTAGGAAAATTACCTAGATGTATTGCATAGCCATCTGTAATAAAACGTGCTTGTCCTTGAAAACGAGTTTTAAATTTTCCAACAACAAATATTCGCTCAGCAGGTACATGAATTAATTGATAACCTGCAACATCTTTCGATGAACCATATGCAGCTGCAATCACTAAATCAGCATTTTCAACAACATTTCGTACCATTTCAGATTTATGTTTAATTGGTTCACGAGATATACCATCATTAAATAATGTCATACCTAAATTAGGTAAAACTTAGATAAAAAACAACACGAATTCTATTTTTTTTCTTTCGAACCATGTGGAAAATTATGTTGAGCAAGCCAATGAACTACTCGACGTTGTTGTATATCGGGACGTGCAGTTACATATATAATTATATATCCAAGTTCTTGCCAATATCTATTTAATAGATATCAGATGATTTTTTTAAGTTTGATGATAATTGTATTTTATTTACCTAACAACATCAACAGCACCTGGTCGTACTTTTGGATCATGATGACTAACAGAGAAGCTCGATGTAAACGAACCATCAATACTAAATATAACTGCTTCACTTTTCGGTGGTAATACTGTTAAAAACAGATCAACTGTTGTGTGATCACCACTAAACAAAACAAAAAAAAGGATAAATAAACAAATATAAGCAATTTACAGATGTATTATTAATCTCATGTGATATTTATTATTTGTTTTGATAGATAGTCTATAGATTCATCTTGAGTTCTCAAAGGACCAGCTTGTGTGTGTGTGTGTGTGTGTGTGTGGGAAGAGAAATGTCATGTTTTTTAGATTAGAAGCTTTATTAACATTACTAACAGTACCAGCTTATAAAGTGATCAAAATTCCATTAATAACAAGCTGATGTTGATTAAACTTTATAATCCAAGGACCATCATATTTTTAATATAAAAAGCTATTCTATGCAATCTGTCAATGCAAGATAATAAGGCAAAATTTAAATTAATTTCATAAACAACAGAATGCACTAAGAGATCAGTAAAAAACGTTTTTTTTGTCTAATAATAAAGGTCAATATAACCTTTAGTACGGATGGAAAATTTCATTAATCGATTTATTCTTGTATATGCCATCATGTAAACAAAAGAGAATAGATACATATTTTCCTGACTTAATAATTAAGCAAAATTTAATGGAACTGTCTTGTATAATACCACAATATATGTCCAGTAAATAGCAAACAAAGGAATATTAGTATAGTTCTTCAAATATGCAATGAATAACTGCTTATTTACGTCGTTCTAAAAAGATATAAAATCTAATAACTATTTCTCATATATTTATTTAACCTCTTGGGAATAGGATATGTATATTTACATCCGGCTTTGAATGAACGTCACGAAACTTGTGTAGAACTTTTATCATGCAAGTATAATTATATATACTAGTGCAGGCGATGAATATGTCATCACTTGTATAGCGTAACATTCCCATCTGTACAATGTTCGCATTCAATCCCTTTGTAATTAATATATTTTCTCAAAGTAATCTCGCTGTCAAGAAACGCTTAAGTTCATCTTCATAAGACATGTTTATGTGAATAAAGAATTTTTTTACCGAACAACAAGTTTGACAGGATGTAATCCTAATGGTAATTTTTTATCTACTGGAATTGTATATCGTACACGACCGTGTGTATCTGTTTCAACTGTATCAAGTAATGTCCATTCACCATAAGGAGCGGATCTCATAACATATATATTAATTTTTTCGTTTGCTAAAGAGACCATATCAATAGGTCCATAATGAAATTTTGCATGAACTATTTGTGGTTTTGCATCAACAACCATAGTATCATTACCTCGATGATTTGGAGCTAAATTCTAAAAGGAAAACTAAGAATTAAACATTCTCAATTAAAAACTAATAAATTACTCGAATTTTAACAGCAGTTGTACGATGTAACCAACGTTCCGTTGCTTGTTCAGGAGCAAATGATGGATGAGCTGTACTTGTTTGTGTACTATAAAAACGATAATCTTCTTGATTACGTGTAATCTAAGAAGAAGAAAAGAAATAAAATTGAATTAAGAAATTTAAAATGTACTTTTCGTAAAATAAATGCCATAACATCTCGAGATTCCCAATAACTTGAATGGAAGACAATTGGCAAAACATGTGTTGGTTGACTCATTAAAAATTCCGGACAATAAAGAATATAATCAATACGTCTTGATCCCCACCAAATTTGTCGAACTGGGAAAAAGAAAATTTTGTTAATTATAATTTCAAATCGATTACTATAGATTACTATTAGAAAAAATCGTATCAGTATTAATTGAATTATTTCCATTTGCTGGTCGAGCTGAATTAATTAACGATGAATTTTTTGGTTCATTTTTTAAAAATAATTTTGAATATTGATGAACATATTCGACTATATAAAAATGAATCTTGTGTTTTTTTTTGAAGATTAAATATTTATTATTTATCTTACCGAGTAATGTCGATTCTCCATCACCTAATGGAAATTGTGAATAACGAGGAATGCAACAAGGATGTATCTGGCTAAATTCAGATTGTATTAATGGTTCAATACGAGATGCATTTGGATCACATGCATGAAATAAATTGTACAATTGTCCACAACAAGGATGAACAACTATTTTAAATAAAAATAAATTTTCATTATTTTAGATGAGAAAATCTATTACCATTATCAGTAAGTAGTTTTCGGTAGGCAAGGACAAGTGAAAGTGGAGAGCCAAATGAGAAAAATTCATTAACATCAAATGCTAACATCAAACCATAATTTTCTTGTCTTAAACGAGTATTATCACCCGTACGTGATCTGAATAACATGAGATAATAAATATTTAATTAAAGAGCAAATGAAAAAAATATATTTTACACGCTATCACTCGTTTCAGGATTATCAA